GACTCATCTACAGTCCTGCCAAATTTCATGTTGATCGATGCAGCCGTTTTTGTGCTACGGTTGACCAAAAATCTCCGGAGGAAAAAAAAAACTACGAAAACAATTTGACTCCCGTTTACGCTTCGCGTGCGGGGGTCATAATAAAGACTAATGTTACAACTAATCAGGGATCCCTTTAAATCCTCTGACGGTGAACACATAAATTACTACTAGTTTTATTTTTTGTTTTGTTTTAAGATTAAATTACGATTCCTTTCAGCTCTAACTTGTTGAAGCGATCATCGAGAACTTAAGAGGCGTGGAGCAAAACTATTGGTGTGGAGAGCAACTAATTAAATTAAACTGGTGATGATCAAATTGATTTCAAAACAAGTTCAGTRATTCTCTGTGGTTTACTAATGTTTCCTTCATGTCTAGAAAGCCTGTAATAATATATGTGTACATGACAGTGTAATATTACTACCCACTTTTACTGTAGTCATTTCCCCCTCAATCAATAGGAAATGTTAACTCACACATACACTGTAAAAAATGAAATGTTGGATTTACTTAACCATGTTATGTTACCTGGTTCCACTTAACTGAGTTGAGTAAATTCAAAGTAATATACCAGTTTTTTAACCAAAAAACATGAGCATGTTGCTTTGAATTTACTCAACTCAGTTAAGTGGAACCAGGTAACATAACATGGTTAAGTAAATCCAACATTTCATTTTTAGAGTGTACAGGTATGCATGAAAAAAAAAAAAACCTGTCAAATACAGTGATATCAGTATGCCCAGATCTACTACCTCACTATGGAGGCACACAGGAGCTTCAGCTCCTCTTGCTGCCTTAACTCATTCAGCCTAAATCAAAAATCCTTGTCCAGCCTGATGAACGGGCCTGGAGTCCTCATCCTTCAGCTGCTTCAGCTGGAATTTGTGTTTACTCTTTCTGTTTCTGCTCCTGATGTTTTCATGGTTTTGCTCAAAAAAAGTAACCCCAAAAACAACTTATACTTATAAGTTTTTCTAAAAATCACTCACCTCTTAATTTTCTTGGAAACTAATGATAAAAATTTAATGTTTTTGGTGCCTCCGTTTAAAACAATCTTGAAAACTAATTTTCTTTGAAATTTACCTTTTTATTTCTGCCAGGAAATTCCTTCGTATAATGTTTGGTGYCATTGTGAAGCTCTTTTTTAAATGTTGCACTGGAMTTCCCAGTGACTTCACTCCAGACCAATACAAATCGAGTTTACATCACTTTGGTAAACAAATTCCAACAAAACGTTCCATTTTTAAGAAAAAGTGAAAATAATGATTAAATATTTTTAAAAAATCCTCGTCGTGACTCATTTTGTCAAAACGGGTCACAAATTCAGCTACTTAAATTAGTCAAGCTGTAGAACTTCTCATAACTTCAAACAACTACAAATTTTCAAATTCTTGACTGAAACAATCACAGCTCGGCTGCTCCTATAATTCATCGAATAAAGTCGTTGAGATTTTTTGCAAAACGATGACAAATAACAGGAAGCATTTGTTTTTTCAAGCAGTTCACACATTGGCTCCAGTTTAATACCTTTAGGCAAACACTTAAAAGGGACATGAAGCAAAATAAGTCCAGTTCACAGCCGAGTCATTACTCAGTCATGCCAGAAATGTGCTGACTCATGCACTGTAACACAAGGCTTTTTATAACATGCTGAATTAACCTGATCCCAATCATAGAAAACCCATTAAAAATAAGCTTCTACCAGTAAGAAACTTATATTTTTATATACACACTGCAGACAAATTACTGCAAAACTTCAGCTTCAAAGTCTGATTACATATCGGGTTTGCAAACATAATCCAGTATATTCCAATCTTGTATTTTAACATCAGAACTTCTTACCAGCTGAGCACAGTTGCTCCACTTTGCATGGTGTGTGCGAAAACAAACGAAAATAAGTAGCTGTTCAGATCAGATCTGTGTGAGGTGTCAGATAAAACCCCCGCTGGCTTTAAAGGACAAAAACTATAAGAACAGCTCGAGAAAATGAAGCGAGTGAAACTGATACAGGGCTGTACGTGAACCTTTTTAGCTGATTGCACTGGTGCTACAGATGTTGCTGGTTTTGTAGAATAGAAAAAAAGGTTATAGCACCGGCATAAAACATTACAATCTCTAAAAACCAAAAGAACAAATTGTAGAAATTGTAGGACAGGAGTCAGCAACATTTTCGAAACTCAGCCTTTTCTCTGCAAAACCTTCCAAATGCAAACACCACAGCTTAAATCAACTCCAGGCTTTTTATCTGCTTAATTGAGAACAACATGTAAAGGTACCCAGATGATTTCCAGACATCAAATGAAATGCAAATAAATTCTTAATGGAATATTTTCAACATAATTATTTAAACAAAACAAGCAAAAATAACCAATAATAAATGAATAAAAGTAGTGTCATAATTACTAGGTTTGTTTATATTGTTGATAGGCTCATGTTTAATAGAGTTATTAGCAAAGTTTGCATAAGTAAACCAGTATTTTCTCTATAGTCACAAGTTTTTGCACCTGTTATTTTGTTGGTTGGAAGCTAAAAAGTTTTAAACCCACTGGTTTAGACGAGCATTAATGTTTCTGTTTGTAGTTCCTACACATTTGATTCTTTCAACGTCACTCAGTGCTTGACTTTTAAAAAACTGTTCAATTCCAGTCACCCGCAAATAACTGTATCTATACATTAATCTGACAAGTCAACAACACAAAACAGGAAGAAAAGTCACCATCTTAGTTTCTGAAGCTTTTCTACTGGTAGTTTTATGCCCCTCTAACAAGATAAATTTAAATATTTCTAAAGTAACTAATCATGTCCTACTGAAACAGAACCAGAAAATGAGTGGATTATATTATAAAACATAAGTAAGAAAGAATCAAACAATAAAACACAAAAAAGTTGCCACTGATTTATGCCAAAAACTATTTTTTCTTTAATATTTTACAGCATTTTACATAATTTCCATCTGGTTTTGTTCATATTTCTGCTTTATTTCAACATAGACTTTGGCTCAGACTAAAATACAAGACAGAGGTATGGTTTTGAGTAGAACAGCAACAAGAAAAAAGAAGCTGCACTAACASTCGTGTAGCAAAGTGACTGTAAACAGGACAGGCTGGTAATTAGTGCTCAACCCTCTTGATGCATTTGGCAACAGAWGCCTCTTCTCCCACTAGAGCCGCCACTCAAAGTGTCAGTCGGCTCGCCACAGCTTCAATCACTATTAGCTAACAGCCTGGGAGGACGGCGCCACAGGAAAACCAGCTGCTTTGTTGCTCTTGATGAACTTCTGAATCGGGGGACAAATTTGCCTGGTGATAAAGTCTGAACTCTGTTAATCTGGGAGTTTCAGCTGAGCAGAGGCAAGTTTTTTTTCTTTTTTACTCTTCAAGTCAGATTATGCCTCTGTGGTCATTTGAGGCCTAAAAGGCTGTGGTGGAGTGGTTAGGAGTCGTATGGTGGCACCAGTGCATGGCAGCTCCACTTCTGTGTACACACCGATGTCATGTTTACTCACAACAACCTATTGGGACRAGCGCTTGAAAAGGGTTTGAGTGAAACCAGGCAAAAACATGACACTTTCGATGTCGCCTCCTGATACAAAAACCTCCATTTTTTTTACATCTTCAAGAAAAATAAAACTTCAGAGKGTTAGCAACTCAGAAGCTCTTATTTAATGTTGTATAAAAAATAYAGTTTGATAGTAATGTATTACAGAATCCATTTACTGCACAGCCCACTTTGCAGTTGAMGTTCCCCAAGGATGTGTTCTCGGGTACATTTTTGTTAAAATTTTTTATTTAATTCAAGTCAATCAAGCGAAAAATTGTTCAATTCCAGTCACCCTCAGACTTATTTGTGCCTTCTAATGCTGTGTTCACACCGAACGCGATTTCAGCTTCAAAATCACATCCAACGCTTCAAGTTGGACGCTTGTGCACTTT